TCAATTATTGAGCAAATTGTTGTTGAATTGGTTGAATTACATAATTTGATTTCATAAGTAGGTTGATATGTGGAATTCGGTTTTTGTTGAAGCTATTTTAGCTCCATAAGATAGTTAAATGAACTCTGAGTTCATACGTGATTCTTTGTTGTGATTTGTGTTTGTTGATTTTAAGGATTTTGTACTTCTTAGCTCCATAAGATGATTCATTATTCTTAGAATTCGTTATTGAGTGATTGTGTATTTTCTCGTATGTTTGTTTGTTATTTTCGTTAATTTGAGGTTGTTTAAGCTCAAAAAAAATTATCAATTTATTGAAAATATGTTGTGTTCATCTAAGTGAATAGAAAAAAACGTCATTGGTTTGAGAAGTTCATGGAAATCTGTGAAATGTGCTCATCATTAGGAGAAAAAGTTTGTTAAAATGCATAAGGTATTGGCGGTTTGTGAATAGATTATGTATGAGAGTTGAATGCATAATAGATTCTCTCTTTTATAAATTTTTTCTATAGTGGAAGTATGTTCTCATGCTTGAATAGAGAGTTGGGGTTCTAAGGTATATTTCAAAACGGGCCTTTGAATTGCATGACTCCGGGCCGTGTGGAGAGTTGACAATCCTCCATATCGTGGTTAAGGAAACGAATCGACTCGAGCCTTTGAATTCTTTTCTATTTTTAAGTGTGTAAGTTACGTACTATATTGTCTAGGTGCCTATTATACGTGTAATGTTCGATTGTGTTTGTTCTCTTTTTTTATTTTGTTTCGGGTTCTTGGCGGTGTTTCTTGGGTATCTAAGTTGGAGGAGATGATTATCTTTAGAGCTTGTTTTTCCCCATTTAATCAAAAAAACCAAAAAAATAAGAAAAATAAAAAAACCAAAAATATATTTACTTTTTATTCAACCCCCCCCGTTGTGTTATATAAGCATAAGTTTTATTTAATAAGTGTATATTATAAGTACTTGTTTATAAGTTATAAATATAAGTTCTTTATACTATATTTTTAGTATGTGTTTTATGTTTATGGTTATATTATAAGTTCTTTGTTTATATAAGTTTTATTTATAAGTTTTATACGTCTTATCATATGTTTAGTAGTTAGTTTGTTTTGTTTAGTGACAACGTGTGTGCATGCTAATTTGGTTTTAAAAAGTACAAACTTTCTCCGTGGGATCGACCCTTACTTGCCCTAGCTATAGTTTTTATTTGATTATATCTTGGGGATTAGTTAAGGATATTTTATAAATTTTTAATTTGTTTTGGACCTTACGACAGTCCCCAACATGTAGCATCTGTATTTATTAGTTGGATGTAATGTAGCAACTGTTCTTATTAGAATAAATTTGATAATCATTTTCAGTTCTTATCAGAACAAATCAGTAAGAAATTAAAAAGCAATTTCCAGTGCAGATTTGAATCATTGGCAGAGAAGAATGAATATAGCACACAATCAGACTCTCACCACAACACTTTTGGCACAAAACAGACAAAGGGTTGACCAAATGGATAAAAGTATTCAGTAATGTAAGTCTCCAACCTATACGGGGTGACATTACAACTTTGCCAAATCAGTAAGAAGTTTGCATCATAAGTTTGCCACTTCAGAAAAAAATTAGGGCATGCATAAAACAGAGAGTAAAATTAAAGAAAATAGCGAAATTACTCTTCCTGTAGCAAAGTGCCTTTGCCTCATCTCTATATGGCTCTTCAAAAACAATTTCTGTATCAGACATCGCCAGGATCTGTTCTGAGGTAACAGATTCATCATCTTCATCCTCTTCCCCATTTTTGACACAAGCTTCTTCTTCTTCTGAAGGAAAAAAGTCACCCCCTAGATATTTTTTCCGGTACCACCATGTTGGATCTGTATCATCGGTTCCAGATGCAGTGTCCCGAGAGTCATAATCAGGGATTAAAGGCTTCGAAGTAGTTGGGACAGGCGTAAGAGCCAATCTCTCCTCATCACTATCAGATAATAGCTTGAAGCTTGGCATCGTAGGATCAGGAATCTCCATAAGAAATTTTAGATCAATCAAAGAAAAAGAGAAGGGAAATCTGAAGAGAGAAGGGTGCCAACAATGGGGAAGTGGAATAGGCAGAGAGAAAGGAGACGGAGATGAGAAAATGAGTGGGTGAGGTGGAGTACTGAATTGATGGATAAGGTAGGTGGAGGGGTTTGGGTGGGTTGGGTAGCTTTAATTAGGGTAAAGGGTATTACGATCCAAAAATGTGAAAAGTGAAACACTTTTTGGGACAAAAAAAAATTAAAGGAGAAAGACTTTTCGGGACGGAGGGAGTATTATTTTTTAATTAAAATTTAACTCTCCATGTCTCATTTTATGTTTTATCACATTTATCAATCTATCATCAATTCAATACCTCATATTATTTTATATTTTTTTCTAAATATATTATCTCTACCTTAAATAATCTTTCCTTTTTGACCTTTTAGTCATATTTTACAAATTTGGACTACAAATTATGAAAAAATATATATTTAATTATGATATAAATTTAATATAATTAAATTGATTTTAAAATTTAGTTTTGATATATGAAATTTTTCTCACATCTACTAATATATTTATGTTTATAAATGAAAAGATAAAAGATAAATTCAAATAGTGTTATGTTCCATTTGAATACAATTTGGTAAAAAATGAGTTAAATTAGGTGAAATTAAGTGAATTTTATTCAATTGAGTGCAAAATTTATAAATTATTTGAGTGTATTTGGTTGAAATTAGATAAAATTAAATTTAATAGAGTCAAATATAATTAATTTTACACCTAAATGTAATGGTGTAGATCAAATTTGAAAATGATAACATTAAATGCTGCTGCTAGAGAATCTTTTCAAAATGTTAACACCTACATCTAACGTTATTGACTAGTATTGAGTGAATTGGTTTGAAACTAATCAAATTAACTATCAAACCAATAAAGTTTATTGTAATTGGATGAAATTAGGATAAAATATAGTTATTCCATACAATTCATCATATACTCCATTTATGAGGGAATGAGCAAGTAATGTAATCAGTTTAAGTGGTAAAATAAAAGTAAAAATTTAAAGTATAATATGCCTATTGAAAGGCAAACACAGTTTCGAATTTATCGGTTTTAGTTCTAATCGCGTTCAAATATTATCAGTTTTGGATCTAATCGGTTTCGGGTTTTGTCGGTTTCGGGGATTATCGATTTCGGATCTAATCGATTTTGGGTTTAATCGGTTCGGATATTATCGGTTTCGGATCCAATCGGTTTTGGATTTAAATCGGATATGAATTATTTAGTTCGATTTTGGTTCGATTCGGATCATTTCAGATTTTTCGGTTATAAATCGGATCTTCATGTTTTGGATCATTTCGGTTTCGATTTTGGATATTTTGGTTCGGATAATTGGTTCCGGTTCTGTTTTGCCAGGTCTATTCATGAGTTGTGTGGATTTAGGTGGAGGGACAGGTGTGGATAAGGTAGGTGGGCTGGTGGTTATGGCAGTATCACGGTCGAAAGGTTGACAGTGAGTATGGAGGAGATTTTCGAGTAAGGTATATAGTAAGGATGGTAGGTTGTAGCATTGATGGAGAGGTGATGGTGGCAGCTGGTGTGGGCGAGCGAGCACGACGTTGGGGAGGAGTGTAGAGGGGTATTGATTCGGTGGGGGGGAGGGAGGGCTGGACTATGGTGGATACAGTGAGAGGGAGGAGGCGTGTGACGAGGACTTTTTGACGAAAAGAGGAGGGTAGAATGACTGGCACTAAAATATAATTACTTTTTCTAAGTGGCATCATTTGTTATTATTTCCTAATCTAGCATTTTAGTCATTATCCATTAGTCATTATTCAAGTAAATATTCACCATCACTGGACATTATTTCTCCTTCTACACATTATTAAGTGCTATTTAGGGAATAAAAAATTTTAAGTTCTACATTAGAAAATGACTTATGTTTTAGTGAT